CTGGGGATTCAAACCCGCCACCTTAGGTGTATGTGGCTGGCGCCTTAGCCGCTTGAGCCACAGGCGCTGAGCCGGGTTGTATTCTTTACACCTGTAATGTAAAGCCTTTCTCTGAGTTCTATGCAAATAATGAGACCCATCCTTATTTGTAGTAAGTCGGACTTTAGTGCTTCCTTTGGGGTCTCACTACTTCCAACTGGTATTAGAAGTTGGGGGCAGCCTTGCAGGACTGAGCCCTTAGTGGAGTTTGCACTGAATTCAGTAGACCACCCAGTGGTGTCTGCAGAGAGCTGGAGAATTGCTTTATGGAAAACCAACACCTTTGATGTGTGACTATGTGCAGAGCTGTGATTTTCAATTGCTGTGTCATCACAACACTGATGTGCTGTGACAGGATCTTACATGTGCCACCAAAATTTTTAAAGATCATTTTATTTTCAAAAGAAGTTCAAAGTACAGTAAGTATATTCTTTTTTTGTGTGCCTGTGTGCAGTTTTTGGTCAGGGCTGGGTTTGAACCCACCACATCCGGCATATGGGGCCAGCGCCTTACTCCTTTGAGCCACAGGTGCCGCCCACTAAGTGTATTCTTTTAAAATTTTTTTTGATTGGGTAGTGCCTGTGGCTCAGTGGGTAGGGCACCAGCCCCATATACTGAGGGTGGTGGGTTCAAACCCAGCCCGGCCGAACTGCAACAAAAAAATAGCTGGGCGTTGCAGCGGGCGCCTGTAGTCCCAGCTACTCAGGAGGCTGAGACAAGAGAATCGCCTAAGTCCAAGAGCTGGAAGTTGCTGTGAGCTGTGATTTCACAGCACTTTACTGAGGGTGACAAAGTGAGAATGTCTCTAAAAAACAAAAAAAATTCTTTTGATCAACATAATTAACTGTGCCATGGAAGTTTAACTGTAGTTTCAAGTGGGCCATGAGATAAAAAAATGTTGAAAAACATGGCTTTAAGCTGAAAGTGAGCCAGCAGTTAAAACAGGCCCTCATTGTGCAATTTACTTTTGTCCCAAGAATGGTGTGAAACTGATTTCCTTTCATTCCTTTATCTGTGTATTTACTGAATGCCTCCTGTGTCTTAGGCTACTTTCAACCTTGAGGCAGTTATTTGAGTAAATGAATGCTATAAAGTGTTGAATGAGAGAGAGACAGAAGTGTTCCATTCTGCAAGGGCTAATGGAGAGAGGACTGGGGAGGGCTTTAAATGAGAGGGACCATGAGATGACAAGTAAACAAGAAAAACCTGTGTGTTATTATAGAAGTGTGGGAGAAGGAAGAACCAAAAAAGGGGGAACACATAATAAGCACTATCTGTGTGTCAGGCCCAGTGCCTCACATTTACACTCTGCCACTTAATTCACAAAATGACTGCTGTCCTAATTAGAGCTGCTTACAGGAGTAAGTGCTTTCCTATGGAACAGCAGTACACTGTGGAAGCCTCTTCAGTGAGGAGTTGGTGAAACCCCCATCAGCCCACGTGGTCCCAGAGCAAACTCAAGTAAACCAGACGACCAGTGGTGAGTGCCAGCATCCGCCCCGTCTCCACCAGTCCCCATCAGGGTTACCCGGCATTTGAAATTTTGCTAAGTGAACACAATTATTAAGTCTCACAAAGTAGGCAAAAGATTTTAGAAAAATACAAAATTTTAATCTTTACAAATGATAGTCATGTCGAGACCCCTATATTTTAAAAAATTCTTTTCAATCTTAGTCAACTGATTTTGAAAGTATCTTCTGCTGTGCACTTTTCTCCTCAGCCTGAGGCGCTTTGTAAACCTGCTCACAACAGAAGCTGCTCAACTTGCCTCTGGGACTAACAACTTGAAAGCCAGCCACCCAGCTCACAAACCTGAGGTGGACTCTGCTCCCCTAGGTCACAGAACTTCATTCTTCCAGCTCTGTAACCTAAGAATCCTGCAGCCTCTGAAGCCCAACACCCAAGTCCAGGCATCTGCAAGGAAGAGCTAAGACGCTAAGGAGACCAGCTGGAGAGCCGTAATGAGCCCTTGGGGTTTGCCCATCTCCCACATGGCTTTCACCAGCCACCTAACGCACATCTTGGAAGGTGTGTGTCTTTAAGGCACTAAGTGAGCTTAAGAACTGGCTCTGCTTCTCGTGGAAGGATGTCCTTCTACACACCGCTGTGCTGGTTAATGCTGGAGGCCAACCTGTTCCTCCACACCTTATAGTCCCAAATATTAGTGGAAGAATGGTAGCTCCAGGAAGTCTTTATCCAACCTTCATGGCAGGATGTAGTTAATTCTCTGGGAAATAGATTTGCAGCCCTGGAAAGAAAAGAGTTGCTCCTCTTTGGGGACATACACCATCATCTTTGCGATTTCATCCAATGCCTCTTCAGTGTACTGGAGCTCCTGGCTCAGAAAAGCATCACGTACACAAAGCCTCACATGCCGGTACTCCAGTGGCAGGAACGGGACAAAGAAGTCAATCAGGTTTTCCTTCACAAGACAGCTGTGGCCAAAGCCACTGTCTGAAATCAAGAACAAAGTTACAGGGGAGTCTGACCTGGGGCTGAACCCAGCTCGAGTTTTAACGTGTCGCCAGGTATAAGACCTGGGGCAAGGCTTGATCCTGATCTCACATGCCACCTGCAGGCAGGCTATCTGCTGGGCCTGACAAGAACTCTACAGCTGTGTCTGCTTTAGGTAAGACGGCCAGGGTTAACTATGGCTATAACCACACAGTGGGGGGGGGAGGGGGATGTTGACTGCCAGGTGTACAGTTTTGTTTGATGACAGAGGGTGGAGCAATCCAACCTCTGGCTAGACTAGACGCTGAACCCTGAAGGTTCTCAGGGTGGAACTTTGCTTCAGGACCACTGCCTGTACTCCCAGGGTCAGTGTGAACTACTCTCTCTCAAAGCATTTTTCAGAACAGGAGTTCAGGCCTTCTTGGGACTTTTCTTGTGCCTGCCTGAAGTTGACAAGGTGAGATAATCATGTTGTATCTTCTATGATCCTAAGTACCCTACCTGCCTCACAAACACACAACTGTGGCTATCACCAGATGATCAATTTCAGTGTGGCTGGAAATGCTAGTTACCTGTGGACTCAACAATCTCAGCGTGGAGGTGAGGCTCCAAGTGTTCCATGGTAATTTCTTCCCGAGACAATCCAGACTTAAGCAAATTCAGGACCACCTCATTGATTATGTTGCCCCTAAGGTTACTAAAAGAGAAAAGGGCTTGTGAACAGATTTTTTTTTCTTCCTCTTTTTTTTAAAATTATTTTTAATTTTTATTATTTTATTTTTCAATTCAAGTTAATGTGAGGGTACAAACAACTAGGTCACCATGTTTGCATTTCTTAGGTAGAGTCCTTCTTAGATTTCTTTTTCTTTTTTGAGACAGAGTCTCAAGCTATCCCCTGGGTAGCAATAACCTCCAACTCGTAGGCTCAAGTGATCCTCTTGCCTCAGTTTTTTGTATTTTTAGTGGAGAAAGGGTGGCTGGCTCAGGCTGGTCTTGAACCCATGAGCTCAAGCAATCCACACACCTCAGCCTCCCAGAGTGCTAGGATTATAGGCATTAGCCACCGCACCCACCTTCCTAGATTTCTTTTTATATTTAGCTTCTGAGTGGGTTGTTTGACCACTGAAGCCATTGTACTGGTACCTGGAAGAATGCAAGCTGAGGGCCTGGGGCCTCATCTCCCAGGAGATCTTTTTTCTTCTTCTTTTTCTTGAGATAGAGTCTCTAGCTATCCCACTAGGTAGAGTGCTGTGACATCACAGCTCACAGCAACCTCCAACTCGTGGGCTCAAGTGATTATCTTGCCTCAGCCTCCTGAGTAGCTGAGACTACAGGCACCCGCCACAACACCTGGCTATTTCTTTGTTGCAGTTTGGCCGGGGCTGGGCTTGAACCTGCCACCCTCGGTATATGGGGCTGGTGCCCTACCTAGTGAACCACAGGCACTGCCCAGTTTTTCTATTTTTAACTTTTGCTCAGGCTGGTCTTAAACTCATGAGCTCAAACAATCCACCCACTTTGGCCTCCCAGAGTGCTAAGATTACAGGCACTCCAAGGAGATCTTGTCACAGCCCAAAGGTCTGTGCAGGAAAGACACTGTCCTGCTTTGCCACCATGCTCCCTCTCTTACTCCCTCAGTAAGTAGACTGTGCTGGGTGCAGAGAGCACGAAGATGGTAAGACACGGCTCTTTCTCCGAATTCCCTGTAGTCAGAGGGGCAGGTGTATATGTGATTCCAGGCAGTGTGGCAAGTGCTGATGTAGAAGCAAGTAAGGTGTAGGGAGAAGGCTTCTACAGAGTAGTGACCATCAGACATGAGGTATGGTAGGGCACGTGCCTCTGACAGATGTGTCAGAGGCTTGTGGGGCTCAAGGGTGCAGGAGGACAGGCTCCTGGGGACCCTGGCATGGCCTTCCCATCCTGCTGTGGAGGGGGTTCTAGTGGGGCAGCTTTCCCACAAACCCTGCCTCCCTACTGACCAAAGGCTGCCTGCAACCATGTAGCCTCAGTTTACCATGGCCAGGTCACTGGGGAGAAGGGCACAGCAGTTGATGGGACAGAGGGCACTCCTGGTGGGTCAACGACCAAAATATGATTGCCTAATGTAGTGGTTCTCAAACTCCCTAATGCCATGACCCTTTAATACAGTTCATGTTGTAGTAACCCCCAATCATAAAATTATTTTCGTTGCTACTTCCTAACTATAATTCTGCTACTGTTATGAATTGTAACATATATATCTGATATGCAAGATGTATTTTCATTGTTACAAAGGGGTCGTGACCCACAGGTTGAGAACCACTGGCCTAATGCAACCTGGAGATGGCAGGTCACTGGGTTGCATTAGGCAATCTTAGCCCAGGCAAGCTAAGAGTACCTGAGCTGAGAAGCAGGTGTGAGAGTCCAGGCAGCTGGCACCACCCGAGGCCTGTGGGCCCAGTGGGGGAAAGGTCGGAGTGGGGAAGAGTGGAGCCACTTACGCACAAAACAGATCCCTGAAGAAGTAAAAGGGAGCCCTGAGTTGCCCCCATGTTCTGCTCCCTCAGTGCAGCAGTGGCTCAGGGGCTTCCTTGGAATCCCCCACCCCTGCTAAAGGGCTGAGTTTGAGAGCCTCAAAGCACACAAGACATTCCTCTGCTCAGCCTCCTCTGCACTGGGAGCTTCCACCTGGATCAGTGCAACAGGAAGCCTGAGCCCAGTGCCTCAGGTGCTGGCAAACACAACAGAACCTAGAGGTAAGAATTAGTTTGAAAAATATGCCATCCTCACCTCCTAATTCTGGGCACTTTTATCATTTGGGAGGAGATCTCTTGTTTAATATCACCCTGGGAGCTGTGCTTCCCCCAACCTCACCATGCATTCTTTAAGTCTCCACCAGCCTTACTTACGGATCTAGAAATCCCACCCCAGAAATAGTTTAAACCTGTCCCATCTCTTCTCGTGGGTCCACACTGAAATAAGATCTGCCTTTCACAACTCAATCTTTTCATACTTTCCAAGCTTGGATGAAAATCAGCAACCCTCCCCCACCCCCCAACACACTTCCCTGTCCTCATGACATGCACCCTACAGCTTAGGGAAATCCTCCAGCAAGTGCTGGCCTGGGGAGGGATCAAGGGGTAGCAACTGACTTCCACTGAGTCTGCAAGAAGTTGCTGTGAAGCATTCCAGTTGGACCAACAGGGGGCCCCAATCTGACCTCTAAGGACAT